ATATAACTTCACCCTGTCTTATACCTCTCTGCAGTTGGATAGGTTTCGTACTCTGATTCTGTACTCAGATAGCCATCTGTATATCTGTAGCTCTACTGTACAAACACTTCAACACCTCGATATACCGACAGTCAACTTGGCACCGCTGAAGGGACTGCAGCACCGCCCAAATTTCGACGGAATCAAAGGCTTTCTCATAGTTCACATACGCAAGGAAAAGTGGCAGATTATACTCTTCTGTCTTCTGTACAAGCTGCCGCAGGATATGTATGTGGTCTATGGTACTAAAGCCTTTTCGGAAACCGGCTTGTTCGGGAGGCTGAAAGTCGTCAAGTCTGCGTGCGAGACGATTCGTAATGACTCTGGAAAACAACACGTAGACGCGGCTCAGAAGGGAAATCGGTCTGTAGTTCTTCAAGAGAGCGTTGTCGCCTTTCTTGAAGAACAAGACCACCGCACTTCTGCTCCACGCCTCCGGAATAGTGCCACCATGGAGGACGGAATTAAAGAGCTTCTGAATGACTTCAAGTACTGGTTTTCCATCCGCTTTCAGAAGCTCCGCTGTAATTCCATCCTCGCCCGGGGACTTGCCGTTTTTAAGGTGCTGGAGAGCCATTCTAATCTCGCTCAGACTGACGTTCGAGATATCTTAGGAATAGTGTCGGATAAGACTTGCTCTTCTAAGATCGTTACTCACACTTGCGTTTGGTTCCAACGATGACGTGTACAGCTGCCCATAAAACCTCTCAATCTCACTTAAAATCTCAGGTGTCCCGGAAACGATGCTGCCACATTCGGTCTTCAGCTTTGACAGTTGGCTCTTTCTGGCAGACAGATCTCTAGCAAAGACTTTGGAGCCCTGGTTCCGCTCGATCGCTTCTTCAATACGAGCAGTATTAAAGTTGCGTAAGTCCCACCACATGCATTTGGAGATCTGTCTGTTCAGTTGCCTGTATGCTGTCAATTCGACTGAAGACTGCAGCTTCATATCTCGTCTAATAGCCATGAGATTAAGAGTGTGATCGGAGAGTTTTTGTGTTCTTCTGCGGCGCGTCTTGCAAAACTTAGCTTCGACCGCATGGACAGTTTCCACGAGCTTGTCATTCATATCGTCCACTGCATTGCAATCTTTTAGGCACTGAAAACGGTTTCGTAGCTCGAGTTGAAAGGTTTCAGAACTTTGGATTAGAGAACACGAGGGGGACGGAGCGTTGACTTCATTAGACGAGACCTCTCCAACTTAACGTTTACGTTCAGTGTGCCTCTAACCATTCGGTGATCGCTACCAGTTTTCACCCTCGCGATCACGGAGACATCACTGAAAAGTTGTCGTCTGGTCGTCATAATGAAGTCAATCTCATTTTTTGTCGAACCGTCGGGGCTCGACCAGGTCCACTTCCTGTGGGGCCGCTTCTGAAAGAAAGAGTTCATCATAAAGAGTCCCTCTTTCTCCATGAAGTCAGCCAGCTGCTGGTTCCTTGGGTTCCGTTGCCCTATTCCAAATTTCCGTACTTTCAGCTCACCGTTCTCTCTTGTGACTAGTTTTGCATTGAAGTCTCCCATTAACGCCGTATAGTGAGTTTTGGAGGAATGCGTGGCTCTAGAGATAGCCTCATACATTTCCTCCACCTCCTCATCGCAATGTGCCGCGGTTGGTGCGTAAACCTGTATGACCTTCAGCGAATACCGTTTGGTGATTCTGAGTATAAGGTACACAACCCTCATCTACACACTCTCAATCTTTAGAACGTTGTTAACGAGACTTGTGGACGATAAATCCTACACCCCCTTGGGACAGATGGTCGCCCTCCGGGTGATAGAGCAAGTTGCCAGATTCGAGGATTACCCTGTCCTCCCCCTCTCTTCGGACCTGGGATAATCCTATAATATGACAGCGTAACTTGTCTATCTCTTCTTCCAGCTTCACGATCTTCTCATCAGTCCTCATGGTGCGTGCGTTGTATGTTGCCAGGTCGAGTCGTTTTAGGTGGCAACCGAACCTCTAACGGAGATTCTTAGCACCCCTGCACCGCCGTTGCCATAACCGCCACCGTTGCCAGGAATCCGCCGGGGACTGTGGGCAGTCTCTTTGTTACTCTCATCATTGGGGGGTATTTGCCATAGTTGCCACGCTTGGCGAGCGGGTTGGCAACCGCAGTATTTTTATTGTATTTTTGCTGTTATCAGGAAGATGCTGCTGCCCATCTCCTGCCTGTTTCCCTTTGTCGCCTTTTACGACACCCACGGGAAGATATGGGGTAGTGGATATTCTTAACCGCCACTACACGAGAACTTGTGCAGTGTTTAAATTCCTTTACTAAAACTAAACGATCTTTTAACTCCTTTTATTGAACACCAAAGTTTTTATTTAAAAAAGTACTACAGTTCAATGCATCCAAATCAAGTGGATTGAGATGTATCACTCTTGCTCTCACTCGTGGGCAACGAGAGCGTGTGAGGATAGACCTGAAAAATTACTTATTATTCTGGCGAGTGCTGTAAAATCGACATATTAGTGTTATTAAAGATGGTGAAATATAGAAATATGTGAAGTTTTTGGCTAAGCATGATTAATGACAAGGCAACAAGGAAGCTATTTAATAAAAGTAAAGGTTTTTTAAACCGCCGCATAATGACCATATCATCGTACGGCTGACGTAAGAGGCGACATAGGGAAACTGAAACAGGAGATGGGTAAAGTAGCATCTTTGTGACGACCATTCAATAGATAACTACGGTTGCTTGCCAAGTGTGAATACTATGGAAAATATCCCGCCGAAATATGTAACTATGATGATGACGATGATGGCTGAGGAATGAACACACAGTCCGTCTGATTGTAAGTGGATTCTATCCTCGTTTAAATAACAAAATGCAGATGCGTTGTCACACCTGAAGACTAAGATGGAAAATGTTAGAGTAAAGGTAGATTACTAATAACCGGTTAACCTCCCTCACTCGTACAAGCAGTATAAAGAACTGCGCAGAAAACTAGCTTGGGTCGTTCAACGAGTCGCAATTGTTATCGTCATTCTCTCAGCCGTAGTAATTCTTTTAGTACCAGCAAAGGCGAGGTTGCAGTGAGGTCGGCCTATCTTGCATCGCGATGAGCTGCGTTGCTGTTGGTTTGCATACATCATTTATAATTAATAGAATCAGGCGTAACTTTGCGGAAATCCATTATATAAAAGCTTTTACAAAAATTTACTTCGCAAATATCCGCGTTATAAAATAAAATGGTGTTGTGTTGTTGGTGGTGGTGTTGGGAGTAGCGGTGCTGGGATTAGTGGTGACGGGGATAGTGCACGCAATTGAGGGAGGGCGGGAGGTGCTTCTTCATACTAGGTAAGACACATCATTTTATTTTATAACGCGGATATTTGCGAAGTAAATTTTTGTAAAAGCTTTTATACCTCATTTATTTTGGAATATATATTGCATTTACTTCTAATGCGTTCCATGAATATTTTATAACATAAAGTCTAATAAGTAGTGTTAATTTATTTAAATACAATAAAATATCTACCAAATGCTTCAGTACCAGTATAGTCTCTGGTTACTTTTTTTTTAGTATAAGTGTGACAAACGAACACACAATCCAATAGTCCATGTGGTAGGATGTGGTTGCTGTGGCCCCTAGACATCTACATCTATTCTCGATTAAGAATTTAAATATAAACGCATTGTCATTGAAAAGGGACTCCAGTGCTCTATACTTACCATACGAAATACAGCTGTTTTATTCTGCTGTTTTACGCTGGTGTTCTGTGAGAGCTCGGTCATTCCCCGATACAACTTTGTAGCTACAGCCACAATATAGCTGCAACGTGGCTCTACCACGTGTAAACACATACCACCAACACAGCATCATAAAGTGATATATTTAAATAAAACTATGCCACTTCAAAGTATATTAGCATTAAGTGATGCCTGCTTTTGATTTTTTGATTGAGATATTTTCACGTGGTGGAGCCATCTGCAGCTATATTAGTATAGTTGCACGAATGGGACGGCCCGACCGGGGAAGGACCACACTCTTACATAATACCTGCGTAAAATAGCAGCTTAACACTGCTGTGTTTCGTATGGTGAGTGTAGAGAACCGGAGACCCTTTTTACTAGAAAAGAGGCATTCCATCTTAGTCCTCACGGGTGACAACGCATCTGCATTTTGATTAGCAAACGAGGATAGATGTAGATGTCTATGGGCCACAGCAACCACTTACTATCAGGTGGACTGTGTGCTCGTTTGTCACGCTATCCTATAAAATAAATTGTTTCCATGCATATAAGAAAAAATTGTTTTGCAGTATATTAAAGGTGAACAGAGAGAAAGAATTTTACAGATCAAACTTAAGTGTGGAGATTGTATTGCAGTTTTGCATTGTCAGCGTGATGATGTACGTTTGTTTTTTGAAACAATTTTAACAATCAAGTCAATTTGTCAGTCAAAAATCATTGTATTTCTAAGAAATGGCGTGCTCCCCGCGACCGCGCCCCTAGTAGCTGCCTCGTGTGCAGTTTGGCGTCGGCCGATACACGGAACGGACGTGGCACGCGCACATTTTAGGTTATACAGGCTACTCGACGTCATTTTGACGTTACGTCACCTTAGTATTATGTTTTAGTTGTGAGCCTCAGTCGTACAATTTCATTCAAAATTAATCCAAATGATCACTATTACGATCGGCGAGTTACTGAAGTTTTGGATCAAACTGACAGTGATATCAGTGGCCAAGTGGACCGCGAGTTGGATCAGTCATGCCTTAGAATCCTAACATGACATTTCAAGTGAGATTGCCGAGTCTAAGGGTGAGGAACGAGATCCTGATATTGATAGCGACTCCGACGATGAGCCTTTGATCAACATAGCAAGCAGCAGACTATTCTATTTAGGAAAAAAAGTGGGAAATAGCCAAACGTTCAAGTAGTATAAAGATCCTCATAGAAGCAGTGTTAGAGCTCCAAGCCATAATATTGTTACAGTTCAAGGCTCACATATGACGCGTGATTGTATTGAAGAAGAAGACTTCTGGAATATTTTGTTCTCTGAAGATATTTTACAGATAGTTGTTCAACACACTAATAGAAGATTACAAGATATGAGGCATAAATACGAGAAGGAAGATCGACCCGAGTTGAAAGACATCGATGTTATTGAATTACGAGCACTCATAGGATGCCTGCTTTTGACTGCTATTTTCAAAAGCAATAAAGAAGATACTGCGTCTTTGTTTGCCACAGATGTAAAAGGAAGGGAAATATTTCGATGTAGTTTTTAGCAAAAACATTTTCTTCGGCTACTAGCAGCAAAACGTTATGATGATTACAATACCAGAGAAAAAACAAAGAAAAATGATCCGGCTTCACACTGGTGAGTTATATGGTATTTTCATCTCGAACTGCCAAAAATACTATACTCCTGGTTCTTATATGTGTATTGACGAAATGCTTGTCAGATGCCGTTGTCGTTGCAAATTCCTCACGTATATGCCGAAGAAACCGGGCAAATATGGTGTGAAGCTCACGTGTATGACTGACGCTTTGGCCAATTACCTCTACAGTGCTTGTTCTTGTATCGTTCGTCCATGCACCATGACAAGTGTAACGATCAAGAAGGTGAAAAACCATAAATAATATTGTTTTATGATAACACGAAAAATGGTGTTGATGGTCTGGACAAAATGTTCAATAACTATTATTGTATTCGAAGAACGAAGCGACGGCCACTTGTTCTTTTATATCGGTTGATCGATATTTGTGCACTAAATGCATACGAACTGCCAAAAATACTATACTCCTGGTTCTTATATGTGTATTGACGAAATGCTTGTCAGATGCCGTTGTCGTTGCAAATTCCTCACGTATATGCCGAAGAAACCGGGCAAATATGGTGTGAAGCTCACGTGCATGACTGACGCTTTGGCCAATTACCTCTACAGTGCTTGTTCTTGTATCGTTCGTCCATGCACCATGACAAGTGTAACGATCAAGAAGGTGAAAAACCATAAATAATATTGTTTTATGATAACACGAAAAATGGTGTTGATGGTCTGGACAAAATGTTCAATAACTATTATTGTATTCGAAGAACGAAGCGACGGCCACTTGTTCTTTTATATCGGTTGATCGATATTTGTGCACTAAATGCATACGTACTGTACAAGTGCCAATACCCTCAAAATGCTAAAAAATGTTGACAGATACACGTTTCTGAGTACAGTAGCCGTCCAAATTTGCAAGCCCCACGTGTTGCGCCGGTGTAACAATAAAAAAATTTCTCGAGACATACGCGCTTCTTCTATCAAGCGAATCTTGAAGATAGAAGATGCAGAACCCGATCCTTCTACATCTGCAAAGCTGGAAACACGTGGGACATGTACAATATGTCCAGCAAAGAAAAAAAGGACATCATACTTATGCAAGAAGTGCAGAAAACCAGCATGCCTAGATTGTCTTGAGAAAATTTGTGTCAATTCTTACCGGGCATAATTTAATTTTTTTGTATGGAACCAATACACTAAAAATATTCTTTTATATAATTACCTAACTCTTAATTAGAGAATAATGTTCATTTCTGTTTTTATTTTGAGTTTTTTTTTTTAATTTTATGATGATTGATCTCATGCCTACCAAAATACAGACCAAAATTTCATTAAAGTTCATGTGTATCATTAAAGTTAATTTTTCACTTAATTTGTCAGAAAGGAGTTTTATTTTAAAATCAAACAAACCTAATTTTATAAAACACGACCTATTTTATTACCACTATCCATAATATATAAAATTTATGGTTTTATATTGATACCTCATATTGACGTCACCTTTCCAATACTATGAATCATATGCACGTTACCAGACGAAGGATGAGTATAGTTAAGGTTTAAAAATTAAATAAAAACAAATCACAGTTACCTCCACACTAGGTTTTTCTCCTGTATCGCGGGGCAGTTTACATACATAGATTTCACAGGGACAAATATCCAGACACAGGACAATTATTTGTAGGCCGTACAAATACTTGTTCCGTGCGGGATTCGACCCCGCGGCCGTTAGCGCTGGAACTCATTACTAATACACTACGCCACGGAGCCGTCAATTAACGCTCCCGAAAACGAAGACAAATGATAGTACTAACGAGATACCTTTGATCATGATCATCACAAATAAATTGGATCCCGAAGAAAAAATATCATCTTTTCACAACGTTTTAACTTTATTCACGCTGTATGTTAGTACAGCTAAATGAAACAATAATTTGACATAAAAAATACATGAAAATACTTAAACATAAAACCAGCAGTGAAACTTAAAATAAAATCAGCTGACAATAGGGTCAATATTCTCGAGGACGCCAAACTCTTATGTATCTAGCTCGGTGCGAAACAATGCCTACTCACTCTACCCTTCCCTTTCACACACGCGCTACCACCGCCCGGCCGGCTCGTGTCGCCTCGCGCTGTGGAATTTATATATGTCAACTTTGCCAACATGTGGGGAATTCCCAAATTTGTGAGGAATTTAAAGTTCGTTGAGGATTTTATGGGGATTGGTATTATGCGGGGAAAATACGTGGATTTTAAAAATCGACAGCCAGGGCCTAGTCAAAACCTTTTTTCAAGAAATCTAAATACTTATCTTAACATTTTGTTAGGTTACTTATAATATCGAATGACTTTCTTTTTTAATTAGCTTCATTGCACCACATTTAATTTTCGGATTAATTTCGGCAATTTTTCTGTATAATTTAATGCTTTACATTTATTTATTTTTTAATTTTAAAGAAAAAAAATGTTAGTTAAAAAGTAAATCTTATAAAATTAGTTGAAAATTGATTCATTTCTTAAAATAAAATTGAGGGGAATTTGTAGGGAATCTATTAGTCTGTAGTTGTAGTTTTGTCCTTATTTAATATTTGAACTTATATAATTAGGGAATTTGACATGAATTTTCGGGGAATTTGACAAATGAGTGCTGGCAACGCTGTCTGCCATGTTGCACCGAAATTTAGTTTTCCGGCGACATAAGAATTAGAGGCGGCAATCACTATAAAAATTGCAAGTACTTTTTAATAATTTTGACGTACCTCTTTTTAAATTCAAAGTATTGGTCAGATTAAATACGCAATGTCAATTAAAATAAAGTAAGAGTATTATTTTTACATTAATTCTGATAGATTAATTAACTGTCGATCATAATTACAATTGATTTTAACTATTAAATTATTCAGTACCATTTCATTTCTATTTTCTTATACAAAATCAAAGATAACGATTAAATAGTGTTTGTAATTGTGTAAGTGAGTACAGAGTACCCAATTGGGTACGTTTATTAATTTCAATATAATTTTTGTAGTAAAGAACTACTTGTTGCGTCAGGATACAATTGATTGTGTAATTGTATTAAAAATGACAACCATAACTTCTAAATTCCATATGAAGACTAGTCGTAGGGATAACTAAACTTATAAATAAAATAAACGTTGGCAATGTCGTAAGGGTTTTACGGTCTGTGGTAGTGCTCAGTGCTTCAAGGACGAATGCCTCGTGCGGATTTGTTTTGACGGGATTGATTATTTTAGTCTTTGATACAGTTCCGTTTTGACAATCACGTGCGCGTGAGCGACAGTTCAATCGTTTTGTTTATTACATTCTTGTTGTTACGTTTTGTTTTAATAATGTCTAACGCGTAGGTACGTTTATAGTGCTCGTGAATACGGCAATATGTTAATGTGCCTTGGAGAAACTCATAAGGCCACTTAGGATTTAGATCGATAAGCTGTTTCATACCTAATTTTTTTAAATAACTTAGTACTGAACTCATCTGAATAGGTACATAACTGAATACATCAGAATAATAAAAATATCTACGATAAAAAAGCATGACCCTAACCTTGTTAACATTTCATTTAAGTATTTTTTTTTATTAGCGGGGAATCGAACCATGTATTTGGTTTATTTAACCTGTGACTAAAGTGGCTAGGTGGAGATAAGCACAGTGGCAAAATAGTAGGTTAAGTAGATAAGTCAGGTATTAAGACAAGTGTTGTAAATTATTAGGTATTGTGGTACCATTGCTAGCTGCGGACCGCGCGAATACGGCGTCCGAGCGTACATTGACCCCTAGTCAGCTGATTGTAATTCCACTACTGGTTTTATGTTTAAGTATTTTATTATATTTTTTTTATGAAATTGTCGTTTCATTTAACTGTACTAATATGATGAAGCGTGAATAAAGCTAATAAAACGTTGTGAAAAGATGGCTTTTTTTCCTCAGGGTCGATTTTATTTCTCACCATCATCAAAGGTATAGTTAGTACTATCGCCTGTCTTCGTTTTCGGGAGCGTTTCACAAACACCCGGATACATATATTTTTTATTATTATTTTTGTTACGCTAAAGAAGTAAAGTTAGTAAAAGTAGTGTTCTTACGTGCGTACATTAATAATTACATTATTAATAAACACACACACACACACACACACACGATTTTAACTGGTTTATTTAAACAGTTAAAATGTATATTATTACGAGCTTGGGGTTTGAGACAATTAAAAACTGCCGATTGAATTACCAAAATTGACACCTTAATTACAAAACACTAATTACGATCTAAAACAACACTAATAATAAAACACAATTGTACTACTGAACACTTAAGTTCGCAGTTGTTTCGCTTCGAAGTATTCTCTTGTATCGCCAATTCAATACTGCCTTGGTCGTGGTCTATACCGGCCTTATATAGTTTCCAGAACCTTCTACTGTAGCCACATCTAGAATGTTCGAGTACATATCGGTCCCGAAATTTCTAGAAGGATCTTGAATCTCCTAGTTCTGCTACTCGACACTAGAGGGCGCTGGTGGTAACTAGTGTTGCCATGTACAAGACATTAATAGTGGCGCGCAACAATATTATCCACCTTTAAAGCACCGCACAAATAGGAGGCAGAAATAAAAGGAAACGCTTTAAAAAAACTAGCAATTCTATTAACATTTCTAAAATTCCCTTCAACCACTGTTGGTAAGATAAAGAATAAAAAATGGTAGATTCGAACCGATAACCTTTTGAGTTCACCTTCCGCACCTTGCCATTATGCTATTATCGCTTACTAACACAGTATTATTTCTCACTCTCTGGCAAGTGTATGTCTCTTTTTACCTTTTTAGTGTCACATTTTCGTTTCATCCAGTTTAAAATGGAAACGATGCTAAAGAAGTTTTCACTCCAAAAGTAGATTTTTATCTGGTACACTTTTATATTTACATAAAAACGTTTAAATAATATTGTACAAATTTTACCAGATAGCTCACGAAAAAGGTTTTGCTCCAGTGTGTATTTTCATATGCCTTTACAAATATCTTTTTCTAATACATCTATGTTCACAGATATTAAACGGATAAAGATTTTTCTCCAGTATGTATTTTCATATGCTTTTGCAAATCACTTTTTGTAATACATCTATATTCACAGATATTACACGAAAAAGATTTTTCACCAGTATGTATTTTCATATGCCTTTGCAAACTACTTTTTTGAATACATTTATATTCACAGATATTACACGAAAAAGGTTTTTCACCAGTATGTCTTTTTTTATGCCTTTGCAAATCACTTTTTGTAATACATCTATATTCACAGATGTTACACGAAAAAGGCATTACTCCGTTATGTATTATCATATGCCTTTGCAAACTAGATTTTCTATTACATCTATATTTACAGATATTACACGAAAAAGGTTTTACTCCGGTATGTATTTCCATATGCTTTTGCAATTCATATTTTGTAATACTTTTAAAATCACAATTATTACACGAAAAAGGTTTTTCACCAGTATGTCTTTTTTTATGCTTTTGCAAATCACTTTTAGTAATACATCTATATTCACAGATATTACACGAAAAAGGTTTTACTCCGGTATGTGTTTTCATATGCCTTTGCAAATCACATTTTCTATTAAATCTATATTTACAGATATTACACGAAAAAGGTTTTACTCCGGTATGTATTTTCATATGCCTTTGCAAACTACATTTTCTATTACATCTATATTTACAGATATTACACGAAAAAGGTTTTTCTCCAGTATGTATTTTTATATGATCTTTCATATTAGATTTTTGTATACATCTATATTCACAGATATTACACGAAAAAGGTTTTTCTCCGGTATGTTTTTTTATATGCCTTTGCAAACAATCTTTTGTAATACATCTATATTCACAGTTATTACACGAAAAAGGTTTTTCTCCGGTATGTCTTTTCGTATGATATATAAAATTGGTTTTAATTGTACATTTATAATCACAATTATTACAAGAGTACACTTGTTTAGCGACGTGCACTTTAAGATTTCCTTTACAAACATCGTTTATTTTATTATCAGTAGAATTTTATTTAATCCCTTTCTCAGATAGTTTTGAAAAGTTGTTTGTCGGTGTGAGGTATTGTTCTGAAATACACACAAATTAAACATTTTAATTATTGTAAGACATCTTAAACGGTTTAAAATGCGCTGAGCTCATAGAGAGACAGATGTAGAGAAATTATAATATTTTACATAATTAGGGGATTCATTTATGAGGTTCGGTTGCCACCTAAGGCGACTCGACAACATATAATAACGCACCCTGGGGGGACTGAAGAGAAGGTCCTAGAGCTGGAAGAAAGATAGACAATTTGCGCTGGAATATTATAGGTTTATCAAACGTCCGAAGAGAGGGGGAGGACACGGTAATCCTCGAACCCGGCAATTAGTTCTATCATCGGGAGGGCGACCATCTGTCCCAAGTTGTCGGATTTATCGTACACAAGGCTCTCGTCAACAACGTTGTACAGATTGTGAGTGTGTCGACGTTATACAGGTTTACACACAAACATCGGCACATCCCGATGAGGGGATGGAGGAAATGTATGAGGATATATCTAGAGCCATGTATTCCTCCAAAACCTATACGATGTTAATGAGAGACTTCAATGTAAAACTAAGCACAAAAGAGAACGGTGAGCTGAAAGTGTGGGTCCAGCAGCTGGCCGACTTCATGCAGAAAGAGGGACTCTATGATGAACTTTTTCTTTCAGAAGCGACCCTACAGGAAGTGGACCTGGTCAAGCCCCGACTTTTCGACAAAGAATGAAATTGACTTCATTATGACGACTAGACGGCATCCATTCAGTGATGTCTCAGTGATCGCGAGGGTGAAAAGGCTGTATGTCAAATCTGTTGAACACGTCAACAGATTTGACACCATACAGGCAACTGAATAGACAGATCTCCAAAACAGGACTTGTGCGACTTCAATACCGCTCGTATTAAAAAATCTCGAGCGGAACGACTGAACTGTAGAAGCTGAAGACGAAATGTGGCAGCATCGTTTCCGGGACACCTGAGATTTTGAGTGAGATTGATAGGTTCTATGGGCAGCTATATACGTCACCGTTGGAGCCACACGCAAGTGTGAGTAACGATCCAAGAGCAAGTCTTATCCGACACTATTCCGATGATATCCCGGACGTCAGTCTGAGCGAGATTAGAATGGCTCTCCAGCGCCTTAAAAACTGGGTACTTGAAACCGGTACTTGAAGTTCTTCAGAAGCTTTTTAATTCCGTCCTCCATGGAGACACTACACCAGAGGCGTGGAGAAGAAGTGAAGTGGTCTTGTTCTTCAAGAAAGGCGACAACGCTCTCTTGACGAATTACAGAACAATTTCCCTTCTGAACAGCGTCTACGTGCTGTTTTCGAGAATCATTACGAATCGTTTTGCATGCAGGCTAGACGACTTCCAGCCTCCCGAACAAGCCGGTTTCCGAAAAGGCTTTAGCACCATAGATACATACATACCCTTCGTCAAATTGTACAAGAGACTGAAGAGTACAATCTGCCACTTTGCCTTGCCTATGTGAACTATGAGAAGCCTTTGATTCCGTCGAAATTTGGGCAGTGCTGCAGTCCCTTGAGCAGTGCCAGTTGACTGTCGGTGTATCGAAGTGCTGAAGTGTTTGTACAGTAGGGCTGCGATGGCTATACGAGTAAAGAACCAGAGTGCGAAACCTATCCAACGGCAGAGAGGTGTAAGGCACTACTCTCAATGACCTCAATAGTGCCTCCCAACGGATAGGTCTTAAGATGAACATGGACAAAACAAAAATCCATGTCACACCTATGGCGGTAATTCTTGGGAGCACTAAGCTCGAAGTTGTTGACCAGTATGTGTACCTGGGACAAATAGTCCGACTAGGTAGGTTCAACTTCGACCGAGAGGTCAATCGACGGATTCAACTCGGCTGAGCTGCGTTCAGGAAATTACGACATATCTTCTCCTCAGTTATACCGAGAAATCAGTGAAAACGAGATTGCACAATCAGTTCGTATGTGTGATGACTTACTGAGACGTGGTCCTTCACTGCTGGCCGTATAAGAAACTCAAGGTCGCTCAGCGAGCTATGGAGAGGAGTATGCTCGGGGTTCCTCTGCGTGATAAACTTAGAAATGAGGATATCCACAGTAGAACAAAAGAGACCGACATAGCCTAACGGATTAGTAAGCTGAAGTGGCAATGGGCCTGTCATATAACTTGAAGAACTGACAATCGATGAGCAAAAAAGGTTCTCGAGTGGAAGCCTCGTATCGGTAGGCGAAGTGCAAGGCGACCTCCCACTCGATTGAGTGACGACCCGGTAAGACATGTAAGAAGTCGATGGATGCAGGTGGCTCAGGTTCGTGCTTTGTGGCATTCTTTGGTGGAAGCCTATGCTCAGCAGTGGACTTGTGAATGGCTGTAATGATGATGATGATGTTAACATAATTATACTAAAATAATATTGCTAGATATAAAGTATTTAAGCCAATAACTTTGAATAATGCCTTTCATATGCTCATGTTATAATTACCCCTGTTTCGAATCCCACACGGAAAAAGCGTTATACATACATACATTTTGACCAGTATTTTTGTAGATATTAAGAATATAGTCGAAGTTTCCGTGTATGTTCTGCGTAAAAGAATCCCTCATCACATTTTGTCCCATCGGTTTGAAAAATCTGATGGCTTCCGACAACTGACGGACAGGCCAGACAGGCGACGAGCAATATTATCTGAGGTGCACACATCTGGGTCTGTGTTCCTCAATTCTATGCCAAGCATGACGACTGAGGCAAATCCTCCCTCATCGGGAAAGATCATTCCATGTTTAGCAGTGGAAGTTAACGGGACAACTAAGATGGATCCATAAAACACCCAAAAAAAGTCCTGGCAGCACAGGGGCTAGCGTTTGCCTTAAAATATCGCAGTATGCTCGCGTACTGTATACCTGGGTTCGATTTCCCCTAGCACCCATAAAATTGTTAAATTACAATTTCAAAACTACCTTAGCTCAGTTTTAATGTTCAACATTTGATTTCATTATACTCATTCTGTAAATGTGTCAGTATAGATTATAAGCCAATTACTTTTTCATATAGTATTTTACAGACTGCATGACAAACGGGCACACAGTCCACCTGATGGTAAGTGGATGCTGTGACCAAAGATATCTGCATCCCATTAAGAATGTTGATGCATTGTCACCAATGAGTACTAAGATGGAATGCTTCAGTAGTTTTTAAAAGGGACTTCGGTTCTCAACACTCACAATATACACAGCAGCATCAAGATACTATTTCACGCTGGTATTCTGTGAGAGCGTGGTCCTTCCCCGGTCGAGCCGACCCATTCGTGCTACAACTATACTACTAATATAGCTGCAGCATGGCTCTACCACGTAAAATCTTCACGGCTTCAAATGTGTAATCAAAGAACAAAATTTTGTACAATACATCTACAACTACATAATCCAGGAGAAAGTACTAATGTGTTTTTTTATTTATTTATTGATACAAATATTTTATTAGAAATTCTTTTACCTGTGTCATCGTCATCTTTTTTATTATTTGTGCACTTCTTTTTTAAAATTACGGTCTCAGATATCTCTTTACTCTTTGAACCAAATGCATTTAGTGGCAAGTCGTTCTCCGAATCCATCTCTCTATCTCCAAAACCTTCAATCTCCAAGGCTTTTGCTTCTTCAGCAGTCTCTGGAATGAAACAAATTCTGACACAATATATAATATAAAACATATATTTTTTCCAAGGGACTAGATCATATCAGTCCGTCACACCGCTTATTGGCCTGAGCCACCCACTTTCATTACCATACCACATGTTTCACAAGCTAAGTGTAATAAGCTGAAGTGGCAATTGATGCCTTGAGCTCATTCTTTCAATTTTTATTAGTATGAAGTGTCAAACAAACTAACGGACTGTTAGTTTGTTTGACACTTCACCTTACAATATGTAGCCGCTCCAGCTGATGGTAAGTGGGTACTGCAGTCCACGGACTGCTTGCAGCTAACTTCAAACACAAAAGGCTACAATGCGCTGTCACCTCTGACGATTAAGACGGCATATACTGAATAAAACTATGTTTACGGATTTTTATCGCGTTGAATTTCTATCTTAATTCCGGGCGTTTCGTGTGCAGCAGTGATTGTTACAGCAACGTATGGTCATGGGGAGGGACTGAGATGTTTGACATCCCGATGTCACAGTTAGCCCGGCTACCTTCAGTTTTGAATATTAATTTTTGGTTCGATCTACACAGAATGAACTTACAGCATCTCGAAGTTTTGCAGTAGTATGCTTGGGTTTGGATTTAATTTTGTTAATTATAGAATCCCAAGCAGGTGGCAGCACCCATCCATCTTCTCTATTGAAATTAGGATGTTTTTAATATTAACAGCCTGGCGTATCATCCTTGATAGAAATTGGTGTTCTTTTGTGAGTATTTGTGATCTATCAAAACCGATGTAATGGCGGGGACGATCTTGAACATGCTCACAGACTAGACTTCCCAGAGCGTCGGTGCCAAAAAATATACATCTTACCTGTTTCATGATTCCCGTTTTCTTCAAATTTGGTATTCTGATTTTCGAAATTCTCTTCTTCAACTTTAAAGGAATCAAGGCTAAAAATTTCGTCCTTACAATCATTTTCTATACCACACTCCGCTGGCCAGATATCTATATGACAAATTGGTGTGAATTGAATCTCATCTCTAGCCTGATGCGGTCTTGGTATTGACTGAAACCAAATTCTATTAAATAAGAGAAAAAAGTCAGTGTAGTGGTGGCATAGGAGATTTGATAATATTTCGTTAACAATAGGGTATATATCAGTATAAACAGTTAGATTATTATTTTGTGAAAATAAGTACTTAGTTAAGTACTTATTTTACTAGAATTCGTAAAATATAGAACATTGCTAGAACGAAAAAGTAAGTTGGATTGAAAGTCATAATAAATCATCGCTCTTGAATTTTCTCGAGTCAATTCCATTTGCTCAACGACTATACAAGTTTGACAAAACCTTGTGTTAAGACCGAGAATCTTTTTTTAAATAAATAAATGGTATTCGATTTTTAAAACCAAGGACTTTTCAATTAAAAAGGTTTTAATATGACAGGAACAGTGGAAATATTCCATTCCCGATACTTTTAGTGCAGCCTATGTATTGTAGACCATGTAGTGGCGGTGTAAGAATATCTTATCCGCTTCCCTATATACCTACGGGATGGGTGTCGTAAGAGGCGACCGAAGGAAACAGAAACAGGAGTTGGGCAGCAGTTTCCTGATAAAAAATCAGACCAATAAAAACTGCGGTTGCCAACCTGCATGGCAAATTTGGCAAAATCCCTCCTATGAAGCAATCTATGAGGGATAGATAGACATCAGCAGTGGACTTTAATAGGTTTTAATGCATGGAAAGGATAATACCATGGACCCTCCTGCAAGCAACTGCTCCAGAACTGCATTTGACTCAATAGCCTGTTGTTGTAATCTTCTGCAACGAATGAGTCTTGCATGACAGGTGAAACAGACAATTATGGGCTTCTCATCCTCATCCATCTGAAAATATAAAAGTTTGTAATAAATATGGAAAACGGCTTAAGTATAAAAGTTTGTAATAAAGTTGATAATGGCTCTCAATGACCTTCACACTGGGACACATACTGCTGCTTGGTGCCAGAAATAGGTAAGAGGATGATATCTACCAGATAGACTCCTATGCAGAAAAAAGTCCTACCACCTAGTGAATGATCATCACTGCAACAACACAGTCCTAAGCCACCTACATCCATCGACTTCCTGACTTACCAGATTACCACTATCTAGTGGGAGGTAATATTAACATAACAAATAATAGGTTGTTCGGAAAGTCATTTCGTTTTTTTTTTGTGGAAATGAAAGACAGTTTTCGTATAATAACCAAATACTTTATTAAATTATATATTGACCGTTCTGGTCCAACACCTTTTACCATCTTTCTGGTAGTAGCATAATTCCACGCTCATAAAATTTTTGGTCTTTGCTGGCAAAAAACTGATCGAGGAGGTTTTCGACCTCCTCATTTGAGGTGAAGGTTTTACCGTCTAAAAAATTTTGAAGTGACCGGAACAAATAATAATCCGATGGTGCCAGGTCTGGAGAATATGGTGGGTGTAGCGTTACATCCCATTCAAGCTGTAAAAGCTTTTGGCGAGTGACCAAACTTGTGTGAGGTCTCGCGTTGTCTTGGTGAAACACTACACCTTTCCTGTTGATTAGTTCTGACCTTTTCTGTTCAAGTGTATCATTCAGTTTGTCCAGCTGATGACAGTAGACTTCCGAATTAATCGTTGTGTTATCCGGTAAAAGCTCAAAAAAAAAACGATTCCTTTAAAATCCCACCAAACAGACAGCATCACTTTTTTTTGTAAATGGTTTGAGCCGGTTCATATTTTTTGCTCCATGACCTCTTGCGTTTGACGTTGTTGTATACAACCCATTTTTCGTCCCCAGTGATGATGCGCTTCAAAAACGAATCATTTTCGTGACGTTTGAGAAGCGAATCACAGACGTCAATGCGGCGACACAGATTTCTCTCTGTGTACATCGAGCTTCGAGGATAATCCCAGGCCTTTCAAGTGGTCATAAACTGTTGAATTTGATAAATTTAACCTCAATCCGATCTCACGTGTAGTTATTCGCCGGTTCACATCAACAAATGCCTTTATTGCGTCTTTATCAGCTTCAATCCTCTGTCGGGAAAAAACGAAATGACTTTCCGAACAACCCAATACTTCTATTATTTGCTCTAAGTAAACTGAAAATGTTTGTGCTAGGAGTAGTTTACAACACTGCAGATTTGAACTTACTACTTTCTTGAGTTTGCAGTCCACACCCTTAACTATTGTGCTACGGTCACTTAGTTTCAAATGGAAGTTAATAACAACATACATCCCCTAGCAGTTTTAACCTTTTCGATTTAATATCAACTGCAGTACGAAGTAAGTTCCAGATGATTTTGGACATCTAACAAAGATTATTCTATCTCACAAGGATTCAGGCAGCAGCATTTTCCCCATAACAGGTCAAATGATAAAAAACTGCAGCTGCCAACCCACCCACCCAGCGTGGCAACTAAGCCAATAATAATAAAAATACTAAAAATATAATAATACACATTTTCAACCTATTTTGGAATATGCACTCCAAATTATATTGAGTTGTTGGAGAAGCTTCAACATTGAAAACATACCACATGAGGAAAGTTTGAAAACACTAACTTAAACTTAAAACTGAATGATCACAGAAAATGAAGAGATAATATAATATGTTAACACTATGACTAAAACTATTATTCCAGTACCCAAACAACACACATCTTAGGGGCATCACTTCAAATTGACTAAATACTTGTCACCTAATAACTGAGGTGAGTTTTATCTAAAGGGTGGCTGAAATATGGAACAAGCTGCCAACAAAAGTGATATCACCACAAACCATAAACCAATTTTAGAGTACATTGGATAAACAAATAAAAGAAAACAATTACAGATTTGCAAACAGGGAATACACACTCATGTCAGTTGTTTTAACTGCGGGCCCACTAATTTTCTTTTTATTCATTAAGGGTGATAACCGAGCATACAGTCCACCTGATGGTATGTGAATGCTCATAGACCTCTACAAACCACCAATTAAAATTCAAAATGTCATCCCCAAGGACCAAGACCACCATGCCTCCAGTAAAAAGGGTCTCTGGTTCTCTACACTTGCCATACGAAACAGAGCAGCATTAAGCTGCTATTGTTTGCTAGTATTCTGAACGATCATGATTTCACCCCGGTAGAGCTGACCCACCTGTGATACAACCATAATATAGCTGCAGCGTGGCTCTATCACATATAAAATAATGATAATCATATCCTACAGAAGGAACCAAGAAGTCCGATGGTCACAATAGAGACTCTTTACCAACCCAGGACAGGATTCTATTGCATGTGTGTGTAAACAAGCACATGTGCACATTATTCCCTTCTCTGATTTCACAGTCTGATAAGAATATGAGAATGAAGTAATTTCTGCATCTGTAAGCACACATAAGATAGAGTACACTCTAATCTCCCACCATAATAATCCGATAGAATGGTTTAAGTGGGTGAAAGACCAAACCAGGGTGGATGTTAATTTCTTGACAGAAAGTCACAATATTATCAGTAAAATATACTAGTACAGACACCGCAAAGAAATAAAAACTAAGTCTCAGTGTCTCTTCTAGTACCTAGTAGGATTTCAGGCTAATTGTTGTTTTTCAGGTTCAGCAGGCCTATTCACAATCGTCTCGGAAAGGGACATCGAGTTTTCGCATGGAAATCAATAAACTATTCACATTTGCCGTTCGGATAAATTTGACATCCGTTTTTGGAAATTGTGATAGTTTGCATCGAAAACTATGAGAGCTGTCTTTCTGAGGCTGTCAAGAACTTGGAAGTGATAATTAAAAGAGATAAATAAGCTTTTTTAAGTATAAGTTAGGTAACACAAATAAATTGCAATCATCTATAGCTATTTCTATAAATTACTTCAATATTTGCACTTACTGCACTCCATTCGATAAACTTTCCATGTCGAATCCTAAACGAGAGAAGTCTGTGACATTCGGATCGAATAATAGACTAACGAAACCTTCCCGCTTCCGAAAGAAATCTTTCCGAGGCATTGTAAATAGTCTGGCTGATTATATTTGTCACTATATTTAACGCTGCACCCCAGCCTAGCCCCAATCTATCGCATTTTATATAAGGAAAGTTGTATTTCTTCGGCGATAACAACAAATTACGGCAACGTCAATTTCCAATGTAAAGAAATATAAACAAACTTACAAAACGGTTCGTTAATGTTTTGTACAAATGGATACCACTCTTTTTTAGAACAAACATGCGTACATTAACGCTTAAACAAATTCTACAAATTTCACTAAAGGCCATTTCTGTTTCCTATAGCTTAATCAAAGAGAATATAACCACTACGTTTAAGGCCGGCCACATACATACGGAATACCTTTTCGGGATTCCGTTTCGATATTCCGATACGAAATCCCGAACGCAGCAAGTCCATATAAAATCTATGACCCGTCACACACGTAAGGTAGTTTTCCGTTCGAAATTTTGCGGGCAAAACAATATTCCGTATGTGTGTGGCCGACCCGTTCGGAATTCCGAAACGGAATCTCGAAACGAAATTCCGTATGTATATGGCGGGCCAAAGGCCGGCCACATACATACGGAATTCCATTTCGGGATTCCGTTTCGATATTCCGATTCGGAATCTCGAACGCAGCAAGACCATATAAAATCTATGACCCGCCACACACGTACGGTAGTTTTCCGTTCGATATTTTGCGGGCAAAACGGGATTCCGTTTGTGTGTGGCCGACCATTCGGAATTCCGAAACGGAATCTCGAAACGGAATTCCGTATGTATGTGGCGAGCCTAAGACCGGCCATATACATACGGAATTCCGTTTCGTGATTCCGTTTCGGAATCCCGAATCGGGATTCCGTGAATACATCACACACACACGTTTTTTTCCGTTCGGAATAACAAGGGTCAGTTGAGAGACGTTAGCCATTGAGTCTAGACATTCAGCCAGCGAATAATGACGACGATTTTCTAATTGCAAATTACATTGTTGCTGTATCATTCTTACTAGGTGCATCCCCTTATCACCCTAAGCTTGCAATATAGTCAATACTATGTAAAAAGATCTATCTATCCAGAGATATTTTTTAAATATTTATGTACTAGCTGTTCCCCGCGACTTCGTTCGCGTGTTAGGGTTTTTATGTTTCTGCGCGGAACCCTGATTCTTTTTCTAAAATAAAAGTAGCCTGTGTTACTCCTTATGAAATCAGCTATCTGCCAGTGAAAGTCCCGTCAAAATCGGTCCAGCCGTTTCGGAGATTACCCGGAACAAACAGACAGACAGACAAAAATTTTAAAAATTGTATTTTAGTTATAGGTATCGTATTTACTTTCATATGCATTTAGTAAAAAACTGTAATTTTGACATTACAAACATACACTTCAATTTTATTTATTTGTATATAGATGTAAATTCTATCGAGGAATTATTAAATAAAATAAGATGAAAGGTTACGAAAAGCTATACACCTACAAGATTAAATTTAAAAACATACATAAATACACCTACTCGCTTCGGTCGTGCGACGAACACTGAGCGCATTCCGTACGGAATTTACGTATGTATGTCGCGACTCGTACAAAATCTATGGAAGACGTGCGTTCGGAGCGGCTTTTTTCCATTCGGGATCCCGAACGCACAGACGATCATATGGAATCTCGAATCGGAGAAATTCCGTACGAAAAAATAACGTACGTGTGTGGCGGGTCATAGATTTTATATGGACTTGCTGCGTTCGGAATCCCGAATCGGAATATCGAAACGGAATTCCGTATGTATGTGGCCGGCCTAAGAGGCGCAGTGCTTCCGGATCACAGAGTACTTTTTATAAACTGGAATTCCAGATCCCAAAAGTAAAATTAGTGTTGCCAGTTAAAAAATACAGGAGTTTCTAAAAACAATAAGCAGATTTCAAAATCGATTACAGTAAAATTACGGTAAAACTTTGTTTAAATATTGATAGAAAAATAAGCTGCTTTATGACTTTGTTTATCAATACAAATTGCTATAAGTTATTAAATAAATAAAAACATACATATGGATACAAAAAAAAATATTTAATTTCTTATTCCATAACCAATTTGCTCATGATTTTCATAAATCTTTGCTGTCATCCTTGAAATCATTTCCTTAGTTGGATTGAAATTCACGCAATTTTCGGAAGTCCGCCGAATAGCTTGCTGAGCTAGCATGTTGCCTTTGATGGTATTTGTGACTAAACAATTTCTCTACTTTGTTTTTATATTATATATTTCGCTGAACTTTCAATCGCACTCAGCGTTCGAGTGAGGCAACGATAAAACTTGGAGCATAAAACGAGGCAGAAAATGGTATTTACTATCGCCGTTGCTATCTTTGATTTGAGACAACTGAAAGAAAAAACAAATTAGAGAAATGATAACATATGTGCAATATTACGTAAAGTTCTTAAATGGTAAAATTTTACCTGATGCCAAAACACGTCTCCTGGTGTTTTGGATTTGTATTCAAATGTACTTCATTCGCAGTCAAAATTAAGTTTCTCCATTCGTCATCTAACATCTGTTGATCATTTAAAGTTTGGAGCTTAAACCTTGGCAGCACTGGGAACAGTGACGACAAATACTGTAGTCTATTATCAGATAAGCAAGAATCGGGATCCAAGTTTCAGTTCAAAACTGGGTCATTCAAACTGTATCTTTTCCGAATACCCACGCATGCTTTAACCATAAAATTCAGGCATTTCTGTTTCATCACTGTAACTTCTTCGGTACTTGCATGTAGCCCTGGGAGAGAAACTTGATTAGCAACACCCAATCCCAGGTATATGTCTTTCAGATTTATGTAATGTTGACTATCAGTAGGATCAATTGCGTCGAGTGGGGTGTTTTTTATATTATTCGGAGTTATGTATAAGGATAACAGTTTTCTGTATAGCTCTGTCATTTTGTTGATGTCATTATGTTCTTCGATAATAACCGGATCTTCGTTTTGAAAATATACATTGTCGCGGGTAAATTTTGGCAGCATCCAACATAAAAAATAAAAATATGCGTTGATGATGTGATCACCTAAAAAGAATGTGAATGGCTTGGCAATCTTGGTCTTCTAGCCATTTATCATCAAAGTACAATCGTAAGGCGTCCCATTGCTTCATAATTCTGTTCACAACACTGAATAGAGACAACCAACGTGTCTGGGCTGGACGTAGCAATTTGTGTATGTTAGTGTCTGTAAATCCTTGAAATTCTTTTAACTCTGCTTGACGTTTGCTACTATTTTTGAAGTGCATTGTAGCAGCGCACCGCCTGGCAGGGTCGCCATGTGATATAGGAACTATGTCAATGAGATAGAGACGCGTGTTGATGCTTCTTTAAATTTAATTATACTGATCTTATTCTACCTTAACACTAATATATATATATATATATATATATATATATATATATATATATATATATATATATATAGTCGCGGGGGCTATACTACACTACACTACAAGACTTAATTTCTACCCATTTAAAATTACATTAGTATTTAATTGATTGAGATTTGGAGTCATAAATTTCATACATTAAAGTGTTTTAGTGGTTTTTTTTTCGTGTTATTTAATAATAAGCTTAATTGAAATACAATATGGAATATACCAACTATGATTAGCGATAAAAAATTGAAGATTATCGTTTTGGTATACGTCTAAAATATTACTTTAAGTCAATAACTGTCTAAATGTTGGTAATATTTTTATTTTGTGTAAACATTTATCAATGTTAGAAGAAGATAAAATACAAAACTCGGTGCCTCTCTTTCTAAGAAAAATGAGGAACAGTTACAATGTTCTAAGCGCTCACTCCCTATATTATATTATAACCTCCTTGGGAAACACTGAACAGGCGGGACTTCCATAGTAAAAGTAAATGCATGAAACTACGCCAAGCTACTCTACCAACATCAAGATATGTCATTTAGTTTTAACAAACAGTGTTGACAACATTGACGAATTACAATAGTGCTGTAAATGACTATCCTCGAATAGTTTTATCGATATAATCTTTATCGATATATTGTTTATCGATATTTTTACATAATAAAAGTTAGATCTCTATACTGATTTATCTATGAGAAATAATTTTTTAACGCGGGGATTAAGTAAAAACTAAAAATGCCGATGAGGATAAGAAATCAATGTATTTTACACACAGCAATTTGTAATTATATCTCTACAATTAGGTACAAAAATATGTATAAAGAAAATATAAAATAATAAACGCACTATTATACTAGTAATTAATTAAGTAAAAAATAAATGACGACTCCGTAGCGTAGTGGCTAAGCGTTTGGCTGCGGCATTGCAGGACCGAGGCTTGATTTTCACACTGAACAAGTGTTGTTATGCTGTAAAATAAATAGTTTGCGCCTGGATGCTTGTTTTCAACGTTTCTTTTTTAAATGGTAAAAATATTAGGTTTTTAACACTGGTTGGATTAAATTGCTTTTATGTGTACAAATCGCTAGGCCTCTTCACAGAGGTACCTATGTACATACTATTTCCAGAGATCATTTACTAATTGCCGCATTCAAAATGAGTGCTCCTTATAGCTAATGTTTGTAGATGAATATATAAAAAAATATTTATAACCAGGTAATAACAACTAACTTTGAGTTATTATCGAATTATAATATATAAATATATAATCGAATTCTTACCAAAATGTAATTTTAGAGAGATATTATCTTTTGCTACATATAAATGAAACCTAATTAACATACACATAATTTTGAAAGTTTAAGTGCACTGATGAAATTACAGTTCGTTTTAGTTGGTTTAGCGAGAGAGTAAGGATTAAAAATAAATAAAATAACAATAATGTATACTGATTAAAATCATTTATTCGTGACGAAATAATATTATTTAGTCAGATAATTTATTTTTGACACATGAACGAAATCACCCTTAAGCCGAACTACATCCAGCGTTCTATTTATACATTCTTTTTCAAAATGCAAGGAGCATATACTTCTTACTACTGCAGGTTTTATGTTTTCCTGGTCTATATTATCAATCCACAATTTTTTAAGGCCTTCATTTTTTGGCAACCTGAAATAAATATTATGTATCCTTAAGTACCAATCAAAAATAATCTTAACATCATCAAATCTTTTGATGAAAAAAACTATTATAGAAAATTTACGATTTACTTTATTTTCAAGTTCTTTTCTTAAATGAAAGGCTCTCAATTGATCGTTTGATTAAATGTACAGTATACGTATCTAAAACGTTATTTGATCATAGGACTTCATTAATATTATTGTTAAAATTTA